TTCCTAGTAGCTGGTATAGTGCTGTGTTTTGGATTTAGTATGAGAATAATGTTGATAGCACACTGATGTTTTAGTTGTTGCTAAGTAGTGCTTACACTGGTCAAGGACTTTTCAGCTTCCCATGCTCTGCCAGGTGCACAAGAAGCTGGGAGGGGCACAGCCAGGACAGCTGACCCAGCCTGGCCAAAGGGCTATTACATACCATAAGACATCATGGTCAGTATATAAACTCGGGCCAGGTGGCAGCAATTGCTGCTCAGGAATGGCCTGGGCATAGATTGGCGGGTGGTGAGCAATTGTATAGTGTACAACTTGCTTTGTATATTATTATTTTATTATATTATTACTACTACTATTCTATTTCATTTTACTTCAATTATTAAACTGTTCTTATCTCAACCCATGAGTTTTCTGAGTTTCACCCTTCCAATTCTCTCCCCCATCCCACTGGGGATGTGTGGTGCTTAGTTGCCAGCTGGGGTTAAACCACGACACCTATCCCTGACAAAGCAGGACTTTTAAAATCTTCCAGATCCAGATTACTGCCTTCACAAGGTCTGGCCTTGTCCTCTGTATTTCAGAAGGACGCTGACTTTTCACTAATGCGGTTGTAGTGCCTGGCCAGGTAACGGGCAGCAGTGTGCCAGGGAACAAGTTCATAGGGGCAGATGACTGCAGATACACAGAGCGAAGGCTCGCTCCAGACGGGATCAGCACAAACTTGACACTATGGTACTAGCTACAAAATCCTGCACTATTAATCCAGGTGAGAGAAGAGGATTCATTTCCAACTTCTACTGAGTCTTTCTCTGACAGCTTGTTTCTGCTTTGCAGAAGGTCCGGGAATTTTGACTAATGAAACTAATTTCTTAGGAAACATCCTAAGGTCATGCATCTCTTTTCCTTATTGTTCAGGTTGCTTTTTTATAACACAGAAGATGAACCCACAACTGCTAAAGCTCAATGACAACAGGCCTCATCTTAGCGATATAAAACTAGATTAATTAAATGGCCTTTGGGATATCTTGTTTTAGTACTGGAAGTATGAAAGTTAATTCCTAAAAAAAACTGAAAGAAAGTAAAAAATCACACGAATCAAAAGTAGCTCAACGATCTTTTGCCTACAATGAACTGGGAAAGAGGTGAAATTTGGAAAAGGTTAAGTTTATCCATGAAAATATAAGATTCCTCGAGTAATTTTAACACACATCTATAAAAGATACGACAGCACAGCTCCAAAGTCACATAAATGAATTAATGCCTGGCAGTCCAGTGTGTACTGTTTTTAAAAAGCTACAGCGAAGCACTGCAGCACCAGCTAGGATTTGTAAACTCATCTATAGATAAACGAGGGACAAGTCCTTACACTTTGTAACGCCTGCCTCTGAAGGCACATCCTACTTGTTCACATGCGGCTGCCACAATAACGCTGGTTACCCCCTGGAAGAAGTACCAAACTTCAGCACTTCTCTCATCAGGCCATAGTTTACAGGTGGACTTCTCTCACGCGCTGCTGCTGCTGCTGCCCCTGGCCCCCCGTGCGCTCCACACCAGGGCTTTCTACCTCCAACCCACCTAATTATCAAACTCTGACAGGTGGGCTTGGCTGTACACCTAATTATTGAACTCTGACAGGTGGGCTTGGTTGTACCACAGCCTTCCACAGGGGACACTGACCTCGCTGGTGGGAATATAGAGTTCACCAATGCCACCCTTACTTGCAGATTGCCATCTGGCATTCAATTTGCACATTGCCTTACCAGAAGTGCCTCCTTTCCTCTTGATTTATGATTCAGTTTCACAGGAACTCCCACTACTCCCCTTCTAGAAATACCGCCATGACAAAGAGGCTCCGATCTGCCTTTTCTTGCGCTCTGCATCCCAAGCAGACCTTACCCTTGCACGTCGCAGCCGCCGGGAGCGGGTCCGGACCGCAGCGCACACCCGGGCCGGCCGCAGGGCTCCGGCTGTGCCACCGGGTGCCACCGCTCGCCCCGCGGGACCGAACCCCCCGCTCGGCCCGCGGCAGCCCACGCAGGGAAGTGTTTTGCTGTTCCACGTGCGGCGTGCGGGGGACACGCAGCTTCGTTTCTGACACTTGCCAGGGGGAAGTTTTCTTATTTAAACACCCCCCGAGCCGCTCCGGGCGGCTC